ATACTTTGATTTTTCAATAGAAAAGTGAGGGGAATCTCGAATTGGATCCTAAATTGACGGGTCTCCCGTTGTTCCTCAGTAGCTCAGTGGTAGAGCGGTCGGCTGTTAACCGATTGGTATATATATATATATATATATATATATATATGTGTGTGTGTGTGTGTGTGTATGCAAGTTTTCTTGTGGTTGAAATGAAAGAGCAAGTGATTTGTGCAATTGCAGGTTACCTACTGCCCTGACTGTACCAGAGCCTGTAAATACGACATGGAACCGGTTATAGGCAAYGGAGAGACCATCAAAGCTCGAGATTTCTATAACTACGTTTTCGGTTGCTTGTTTTTGAACGAAACCACTCATGTATCCCCACTCTGAAATCAGCTGGATGTTTCATGTTTGTTGTAATTCTTCCAACTGGGTTTTGCTATTCTAAACAAGAACAAGTTTTTGAATGCAAATTTCTTCTAGCTTTTTACAAAGTGGCCTCAAAACCATTGGCTGGCTGGGAAGGGAATTCATCCCGATTGCAATATCTCTCAGTTGCTGATTATCGGTCAATGGTTGTATTCTTTAAGCTGTTTCTAACGATGTGTGCTTTTCAATGTTGATAACTTCTTCTGCAATTCCAGTTTTGACATCCGCTCAGCCTCCAGTGCTCGTTCAAGCTACAAGGCACACGAAAAACGTTGCATAAAACTTGGAAACAAAGATTCAAGCGTGTGAAATCGGTGGTGTACCTTTGCTGCTCGAGTACTCCATTCTCCTAGAATAGCTCTCAGCCTTTCGTTTTCTTCCATGTACTATTTCRGAAAGGGCTTTAGAATCATGATGGAATTGAAACACATGAGATGATAAAAAAATAGAGGTCACACACCTGATTGTTTGTCATACGCACGCCACGGGTTTCAGTCTCTTTCTCAACAACGAGAGATCGAGCAAGTTTTAACTCAGATTGCAGTTGATTCATCTGCAGATATGGATGCGTTTCATTTATAGATTATACAAACTTATGTCTCAAAATCGGCATAAAGACAATAAAGAGGGGTTATTTTAGATCAATCGCTATAAAAAGTATATATAGTACTGCACTGGAAGTTTCTCTCTAGTAATGCGAAATGGCATGAAAAATGTGTGGTTTAGTTTCAAGATCTTAAAAGGGTGACATTAGACGGGATAGATGAATGATCTGGCCTCCCTGGACCTACTCTTAGGGCTTGTTTGTTAGAAGCTTAATGAGCTTAATAGGACTCAGCTTATTCGGTCAGCTATAGAT